ATACAGAAGACATAGCACCTACTACTACTCAAGGAGTCTCAACCTGGACGGAACCATTCAGAACCCGACATAGGAAACTGTCAAATCCGAACAAGAGGAGAAAACAAATTCTTTTTTCAAAATAATTGTTTTCCGTCTTAAGGGGGGAGGTGTTATGATCCCGTACTCAATATTCACATTTTCAACTTTTTATAAACAAAAGACTGGCGACGAACTCAAATTGTTCTTCTTTAGAAGCGAAGCTTCTAAAGACTCCTTCTTTTATTTTATTTGCAAGTGTTTGCTCGAACATTCGAAACAGTTGACTGACGAAAGACCAAAGTAATATAGGCAAGCTACACAGCTTGGCGTTGGTTCATTTGATTTTTAGTCTAGCTGTAATAAGTTCTTGTTTATTAATATTAGTTTTGTGATAGTTTTAAGTGCTTGTTCATTACTTACAAAAATAAAGAACGAACCGAATATAACAATATTTATCTTTGCCAAACTTTAAGTATTTTTAATCAATGTTTAGTTTTATCAAAATGAACTCCTGATGCTTTTATCATAAAAACCAAGCAATCATTATTATAAATAAATATAAACTGTAGCAATTTAATAATAATAATAATAAAGATTATGACATCATTTTTTTTTTAGGCACTCGACAATTAGATTCAATAAAATAAATTAAAAACAAACCATTTATGTAATCATTCGATGGAAATTTTCATAGTTTATTTCATTCCCTCTTGAATGCCACATACTTTGTTAGCAGGAACAGCTTTATCTGTAATGAGTATGTTATGCTAAATACATTTATTCAATATTTTGAATAAATAAAATTACTTTTATAATTACCAATGAGCTTCGGATATGATAAATTGAGTTTACTCATTATATCGATGAATTCATCTATGGACTTTGTAAGTCTTGGATTAAACATTTTTTCTTCTGCAACTGTTGTAGAAGTTTGCCCTTTGTAGTCATGAGCAGGAAACAATCTGAAGTTAAAAATAATAACTGTAATGACACCATGATTCAAATATTTCATTTTGTTTTTGGTTAAAAAAAAAACTTACCGGTAATTATCGGGTAAAGTAAAAATTTGACTGTGAACGGAATTATATAATGTTTTGGAACTTCCTTCTTGAAAATCTGTTCTGCCGCAACCTCTAATTAGTAAAGCATCTCCTGTGAAGGCTAATCCTTGTTCGTGGCAAACATAAGTAACACATCCTGGAAAAAGTTTTATTGAAAAATCAAACATAATCGATTGGTAAAACAATTAAGTACCAACATAAATATAAATATTTATAAAAGTATTATCTACCATTTGTGTGTCCTGGAGTTGGCCTAATCTCGAGTACATGTCTTCCAAAGTCTATCTTATCATTTTCTGTAACAACTATATCAGCAAGTGCTCCACTGGATTTTGAAATAACACTTTTGCAATTTGGAAATATTGTTTTTAATTTTCCAGTTCCAGTTATGTGATCGGCATGAACATGAGTATTGACTAGAAGTAAATTTACAAGTTAATAAAAGTTTTATTCATTTTTATTAATTTTATTCTTATATAAAGAATAATTAAATATAATTACCACCATATTTTAAATTAAAATCCAGTTCTTTAATTAATTGTGCATCTCTTTCAGCAAGTTCCAATACAGGATCAATTAAAATAGCTTCCTTTTTTTTAGTATCAGCCAAAAGATAAGTATAAGTAGAACTTTCTTTATCAAAGAGCTATAATTTCAATAATTAATAATTAAATTTATTTAATTAAGAAATGAATTTACGATAAAAAATAATTACATACCTGACGGAAAAAAAAATCTTCTGTTTGTGGTATTAGAGAACTTATTGTCATTTTATGTGATGCGTTATATTGAAATTTTAAAAGGCACACTTTATTGCGGTTTGTATATTCATAAAACGGTTTTAATTTATCTAAATAAAAAAAATTTCGTTGTAATCTAGTCAAAAATATCATCACAAAAAAAATTATAAAGATTTAATATTAATTTAAGAACAATTTATTATTATTATTATGCATTTTTATTTACTAAATGACTTTAATATAAATCCACAAATAATGTGATAAGTTAAATATAAGAGATGTTATTATTTTAAATTTAAATATTTCGATTATGATTTCGATATCTCGAACAAAAAGATTTTACCAAAGATAAAACATTAACATGTTAAGAACGTTTAACGTGTTATGCCATCGTGAAACATTTTCAAATATTAAATTCCTTAAATAATAAATAATTATATTTAGTATTATTAATAATTAGTAAAATTACTATTATTATGCTTTCTCTCAATTGAATTTCTTCAATTTGATAAATTTATTTACTTTCTTGTTATTTGTCTTTATGACCTTTGATAATGTAGTAAGAGAATATTTACAAATTAATCTTGTTGTAAGACAATGTTGTAAAATATTTTACAGAAAATAATTTTTAAAAAATGTTCTTTCTTCTGTAAATTAAAATTGTGATGGAATCGGTGAAACTTATAATTCCATTCTTACAAACGATTATTTTGTTTAATGATCATCCCTTGTCGAACCAGGACATTCTTCTAAGTCTTTCTCATCGTAATACTGAACTGAACACCAAATACAATAATAATATGTTTCTCTTAAATATTTTGTTATTAATTCTAATTTTTCTTCATCAGTTATTTCTTCTTCATTATCAATATCCTCACTATTTTCAATACATGATATATTTTCTTCATCATTGTTTACACTCGCCTCTGATTTATCTAAACTATCTTCTTTTGGCCAAAACCAAAAAGTTTCAGGTTCAGTTTTGTTCGTCTTAATATCTAACTCTTTACATACTCTTTGACTTTTTCTCAAATCACTCGTAGTTTTTTTTTCCTTATTTTTTTTCGAAAGAAACATTGTGAAATCTTTCTCATTTATTTCATCTAATTTATTTTCAGTTTTTTTTTTTAACAATGTTTGATTCTTAATTTTATGACCCAAACCCTGTTTATTGTTTTTTACATTAAGACTTATGGGTTCAATCATTCCATCATTATTTTTACCCAAACCCATACCACTTTTAAATCCCATTTTTTGAAGCATTGAAAATCCTTTATTAGATGAATTTATTGGCTGTTTAAGACCTTCTTCTAAAACTTCAGTTTGATAAACCTGAATAGGTTTTTTCTTTTCTATCATTGCTAATTGTTTTTTCTTTATCAATTCGTGTTCTCTTAATTCTCTACGATTATTTAAAAGTCCAGGACGTACATCATTTGCACCTTTCGTGCAGCTTGCTAAAAAGTCATCTGACATATAATCTAATTCTTCATCCATTTCTAAATCTTTAAACTTAAAAAAAAAACAAAAAAAATTATAATAATACAAAAATTCTATTATTAATAATAAAAAATTTTTACTTTTGCTTTTAAATAACCGTCAAGTCGAATCGTTAACTTCAATTTTACACTTCACTTTCACATAGACCAAACGACTATAATATTTATTTTATGTCTATGGTTTTTCAAATTGAAACTTTTCCCGCGATTTTTGTTGACAAAATTTTATCATCTTCATTAAACAAATGTCAATTTTATTTTAAATAAAAATATTGACAAAATCACTAATTGTAATCAATTAAAAATTAACAATTATTTTACTTACGTAATAAAAACTTTTTAAACGCTTAGATAATTTACCGCCTTTTTCAGAACAGGCTTACACATACAACAAAAAATTTAAATAATTTTTTTTTAAAAAAATAATTTTATTTACAAAATTAAACTTACATAAATTGTTAAAAGGAATAAAAACTATTTTATCGAGCAACAAACAATTATTAAATTGATTATAATTATTCAATCTACGAGAAAATCTTTCGCGTAATTTTTTTTCCCAATAAATAAACCTAAGGAAGTAATGGCGTCAACTTTGGCTTCGACGGCAACCAAATCGTCATCTTCGAGTCCGGTGTAAGAATCTGGGAATATAATACATAAAATTCATTTTAAAACTTTTATTAAATACTTTTAAACTGTTCTAGGCTTCATCTTACCTGATACTAAAATAACAGATTTTGAAAAAAGACTAGCTTTTTCTTTGACTATGAGACTCGTGAGTGTAACGCAACCGATTTCCAATAGAATTTCCACGAGATCTTTTGTCCAGACGGGCGTTATCGACGGAGAAAATTTATCCATGATCGCCTTTATCGAAATTCCAGGATTGGACATGATAAATGACAAAACGGCACCTAAAAATCTATCCAATACTTTTCTATTTAAAGATCCGTCTATCCTTATCCACGGTTTAATTATAATTTTAATTTTATTATTAATGTCGTTTGAGCTGGAAACAAAAAGAAAAACAAAAAGAAAATTTCAGGTACGTTGAATAATTTTCAAAATCATTTTTTACCCAATTGTTTACCATGCGTGAGAAGAAGTATATTCGTCGCTTTTAATTTTTTGTAAGCTGATGACGGTTTTCATTTTTTTCGTTGGTGCTCGTCCTTCGTCGTCGCCATTTTGATTCTTGTTCAAGGGATCGTCGAGGACGATCGCATTGATTTCACTCGGTTTAACTTTTTCTTTTTCAAGCCTTTTCATTTTAAACGAATTCAATAACCAGGGAGAACAATATTTTTGAGATACGTATCTCGTTTCCGAAATCCCCGATTTTATAATGACTTTTTCGTTTAGTAAATATCCCACGATCTCGGGTAAAATGTCGCTTTTGCAATTCGTTTTCAATTCTCCATTTGTCACTCCATGTTCTTTTTTCGAACAAATAAAATCCAACGTTTTTTGAACGTTTTCTATTTCGTTTTTCACTTTGAAATTTTCCACCGTTGATTTTTCATTTGTCAGAGTGATAGGCACGGAAAATCGACTGCAAAGAAATTATTCGTAAATTAATTATTATATAAAAATGCATAAAACGCATCCAGCAGTGCAAAAAAAAAAAAAAAAAAAAAATTACTTGATGATATTTTTTATGATGTTCGAAACGGATTCGGGCCCACTTTCTTTGCAATATTTTTTCAAACCGTTTTTATTTATTTTACTCAAAATTTTCGATGCGTTCACGACGCAAAATTCGTATGCGAATCTACTGGAATCGTTATTGGCTTCTTTTTTCGCTTCTTCTCTCATCATGTACAAAATCACTCTGGAAGATCTGGTCGTTTTTTCACTGCTCCCCACTTGTTTCTTTTCACTTTTTTTTTCAATAGCCATATCGTCGTTATTCGTCGTATTATCACAATTTTTACGTTCTTCCCCTTCGTCCCCTTCTTCTCCCACGATCCCTTCTCCCTTTTCTTCCACTTCCTCTTCCACTTCTTCTTCCTCCTCCTCCTCCTTCTCTTCTTCTTCGTCATCGTCTGTAGAATTTTCCAATTTGATTTTTTTCGAATTTACAACATTAGAATCTAAATTTTCATGAATTCTTTTCTTTTTTTTTTCGTCGACTTTTACCACGTCTTCTTCACCACCGCTTGGCTTTGATAATATTTTACCGGAAGAACAAACGAATTTTAAATTCGGACCGCTGTAACGAAGCATTTCACAATATCTTTCGAGTATTTTCGAATACGTCGCATCGGAAAAATGTCCGGGATCCAATACTACGATTTGTTCTGGAAGAATCGTCTGGAAAAAAACTAATTCTCGACTGGCGAGTAAAAATAATGTTACGTTACACTCGTTCAAATCCACTTCGAATTCGGATTCTTCTTCCGTGTTGAGAAGTTTATCGATTTGCAAAAAAGACTCCGAGTAAATTCCATGACCGTATTTCATATTCAGCATGTGTTGGAACCTGGAAAAAAATAAAATTTATCACGGAGGTATTCGTTTTTCGTGAAAAGGTGACTCGTAGGTTCAAATCACTCACGCGAAAGATAATTTGTAAGGTGAAAAAGACAACGGTAACATTTTTCCTTCTTTAAAAATGGCGTTCCCTGCTTTTTTGCTAACCGTAATTACTTTATCCCTTTGCAATTTCCTTATGGCTTTGTGCAGTTCATCATCGTTGTACTGTCGATATATGTCAAAAAGCTGAAGTGCTGACGATGTCTTATCAGCTCGACAAGATAAACTACTCTATAATATATTCAAATTTTTGTTGAAAAATTAATTTTAAAAAAAAAAACATGGAAGTGATCCACCGCTTACCATTAACACGGCACGTATTACATTTTCCCTGATGCTTTTTACGGTAATCGGATGTTCCTCGGGGATTTCCAATTGATATTTATCGAAAAATTCTCGAATGGTATCCGGAATGATTTCCGTATTTTTCTTTTTACCGTTGAAATTCTTGCAATCGATAAATCTATCCTTGAGAAAAAGAACTAATTCGCGAAATTTTTCGTACAACTGGTTTTGTAATTCCACCAATTGCGGATGCGATGGTTTTATGCTGTTTAATAATTGCGAACAATCAAATTTAGTTGTAGCCTCGGGCATTTGTTTTAATTCTTCCAAGCATAGATTGACGCTACGAAGAGTCGTGGGATTTTTCATCATGTATATAATTCTTCTAGCAACGGCCTTTTGCGTTTTATTACGCGACTCTGCAAAGTTTTCTTGCAAAACTTTTCGAACTTCCACCCACGGTATGCGTACAAACATGCGCGAGTTGGGACAGAGAAACATCATAGCAACTCTACATATGAGAAGAAAATTATCTTCGGCCGTGGACCAAGTCACTCGAAGAGTGCTCATGAGTCTCAAAGCTTCCAAATCGATTTCATCGTAAGATATATTTCTTTTTCGCTTTACCTTGCATTCCCTTTCTTTTATTTTTCTAATTCGACTTCTCATCGGTTTCTCATTATTCGGCACGACAGAATTAAACGTTTCAACTTTCGACAAAACTTTTTTCCTGCAGCTTTTTGACTTATTGTATATATTGTTCATTATTTGTTCTTTTTTTATTCTCTGAATGGGCATTTTTAACACTTTTGTTTTTATCATTTCATCCACGGGTTTTTTAACAGGACCACTCCAATTGCTTCTTAAAAATGAAAACATGCCCGAATCCAATCCTGCCGCTCCTAAATTATCACCGGGAATGATTCCGTTATCATTCTCCATGACTTTAGCAACAGATTTAGGTTCTATGGCTTTCTTGTAGGATTCCTTTGCCGATTCACGTTCCATGAAAATTTCTTTTCCGATAACATTCGTTTTACATCCTGAAATTGCAATTTTAAAATGCATTTGAATTATTCGAATAAAGAATAATTAAAAAAAAAAATTAAATTACAATTGCATTTTTTTTTTTTTTTTTACCGAGATTTGTTGCTATGCATATGTTAAACATATCCATCCAATATTTTTTTACATCCGCTTTGGTTTCAAAATAATACGATTTGACATCGAAAGTCATGTCTGAAGGTACTTGATAATACTCTGCAGGTGATGTACTGGTATCTAATAATGAAGCTTTACGATTTAAATAAGCAAGAGTTTGATGCTGTTCACGGCCGAATTTAATTCCGAACTGAATTAAACCTACAAAATAATAATAATAATAATAAATTTGTATTTAAAGCAACAAAAAAAAAAAAAAATTTTTTTTTTTGTTAAAATTATTATTATTATTAATGATACCTATAAAACAAAGCCTCCTAAAGTCATTATAAATGGTACTCAACTGATATTTTCTATCAAAAAAAATTTGCCTTACTGACAAAGGAAGATTTTTTATTAAAAAATGCTTTCGAACTGGATGATGTAGGTACTTCCATAACTCTGGACATGTTTCGCTAACTTTGACCGCTTTCACAATTATAGATAAAGGTAATCGTGTCAAAACATCTGATAGTAAAAACCATCCATCCATTTTATCTGAAATCCATATTGATTCCGTTATTAATTGTTTAATAAATTAAAAAAAAAATATCGTTGAAATTTATTTATTTATTTTAAGTTAATAAAATTCTGATAAAGAATCATGAGAAAAAAAAATGTTCAATAAAAAAAAAAAATTACATGGCCCATGGGGGGATCGAACCCACGACCTTCGCGTTATTAGCACGACGCTCTAACCAACTGAGCTAATGGGCCGTACGTCCACACTCGCGTGAATATTTACATTATAAAGATGACTTATTACTCATTTTATTAAATTTGTACTATTACTTACTTATTTTTATAATAAATGTGGGGAGAAAAAAAAAAAATAAAAAAAATTTATGACTAACCTATTTTATTTATCGGTGGTACAAACATGTAAGTTGATAATTGAGTTCCGTACAGTTGAGAAATTTCATTTTTTAATTCATCATCTATAGCAGTTGTTTTACTTAATTCTTCAATCATTTCTTCTTGAGATTTATCCGATATTCCCGTGTAATCGTAAACCAGGTGGAAAATAAAATCGTGCAATATACTTAAGCGAATAAACTTAGGAGAATATAATAATTCGCTTTGTTTTAAGCTCGATTGGAAAGGCTTGTCAGTTTTTCTTACAATGCCGTTTAACATTTTTTTCATTTCCGTGTAATTCTCTGCTAAAACTTTTGCATAAGCGTTTTCCAAATCGCCAAAATCCTCTTCGACAACTTTTTTCAATTCGGTTGTATTAAACGAAGAATGTATTTGTCGTAAACTATTCAGCTGACTTTCATCTGAAAATAAATAATTTTTATAAGCAATGTTTTTAAATTAATTATTTTTTCTAAACCTCAAAATAATTCAAAAAAACCTGGTTCAAAAGCTGGATCTGTGTAAAGATAAATGATTTGTCCCGTTTTATCCTGTTCCGTTAACGGGATAACTTTGATAAGGCCATCTTCCCCGAGTTTTTTTAACATTCTTTTAATTGTGTGCCTGTCAACTTTTGTAGTGACGCCCTCCTCGATTTCCTCTTGATTAACATACTTAAAAATTTGATGAAGTAATCTATATTTGTGCGCCTTTATTGTTTTTATAATCATTCCGATTCTGCGTAGGCTTCGATAAGACATATTTTCTTCTTTCAGTTGAGGTATACTAATTGGTTCCTTTGAAATTTCATCCTCATTTTTGGTAACGTTTTCTTTGGCATCAGGTATATTTTTTGTTGAAATCGGCTCGGATAATATTTGAACAATTTCCGAAGCTACCGTTTTATTTTGAATATTTTCTCCTACTATGTACCTGCGTTTTTATAATTATCTTAGTTTGAAAGTTTTGATTGGAAAATTTAAGATGCATGCCCTACACCTTAAAATACTAAATAATGACAGTCATTTATTTCTAAAAAAAAAAAACAAACCTCTTGGATCTCTTTCTTCCATCATTTTCAAAATAAAATTGTATATGTTTTTCACTATATAACTTATTTATTAACCCTCTAATAAAATGTTTTGTCAAACCCATTTTCTGAGCTAAATCTTGATGTGACAGTCCGGAAGCTCCTGAATTTTTAATGTGATGTAAAGCTTGAGCGGTTATAGGCATATTTTCAAAATAAATTCCTTTAGGTAAAATTCCTAAAAACAATAAATATTCATTAATTAAAAAATTACATTTTTTTATTATATGTATATATTAAAAATAATAATAATAAGTTACCAAAATTAGATTCTTCATCATCAACTTCACATTCCCTTTCGATTATATCAACAAATTGAACATTGGGATTAATTAACTGAGCACACCTAACCATTTTTTCTTCATTTTTTGTTTTTTTTTCTGAATCTGACGGACTAGAATTTGGAAAAAGTTTACAATAAGGAATAATCTAAAATTTAATGAAATAAATTTTTAGTAATTATCACTATTTAAAATTAAAAAATTTTTTTAGTTATACATACGGATGTAAGTGAAATATATTTTCTAAAAACGACTGTTTTTCTAAACTTTTTTAATCTTGCTTTTTGTTTTTGGTCGAATAAAGCATTAAATTCATCACTGGGCATTGCACAAAGTGGTCTTAATTTTAATTCTTCTATAGCAGTTTTCAAAATTGACAAATTATCATTTAAACACAATTCATAAAATCTGTTTAGATGAATTTTAATCGCATTCGCAGATCCGTTTAAACTTCCGAAAAGAGACTGTTTTTTAATAAGTTTATGTTGTTGTAAAAATTTTAAATAATGAAAAATAGATTTACAATCTTCTACAACAGATTGAATGCTACCTTTGCCGCAAGTAGCCAATCCAAGATATCTACTTCTTCCTATTCTTTCTAGCATGTCATAATGAATGGAACATTTGGAAAAGTCAATATTAGACGTGCTTAAATTTCCTACTAGAGAATAAGTTCTTATATCTTGTGATGCAACAATAACTAATTTGTTTCCCCATTTTTCTTCTACCTCGCTTAATTTGAGCTTGACAACTTCATCTGTGATGTCAATTCTTGTAAAATAATATTTACAAGATCCAAATACTTCGGTAACATTTTTTAATTTGCAGTATGGGTACACATTGTCTAATTCTAAAATCTGAAAAAAAAAATTTATATTAAGGTTTCGATAACTTTATACACTTCACAAAATTTAAAAACTAATATTTCATAAAGAATACTTTCAAAATAAATTTTCTAAAGATAAATAAGATAAATATCTTACTGCTTCTTGATTTTCTGTATCTGGAGAACATACATAATGTTTTAATGATGCTCTTGGCTCAGGTAATTCATAATACTTAATTGGTTTTAATTGAATAACAATTTTCCACATAAAACATTTTGAATCATTATCAATTTTAAAACAAAAATTTGGTCTCACTGACAGCCTTTTCCACAATGCTAAAAATTATTAAAAAAGAAAAAAAAAGCAAATATAATGAATTTTCACAAGCTTTACAAGTCAATAAAATTAAGCTTAAATTTTATACAATCTTTCCAACTGATAAAAATTTTGAATATTAAATTTAAAAAAACGGTAAATTCAAGAATAGGATTTTAATAAAAAATTTAATTAATTTTTTAAAAGAAAAATAAGTTATGCACGGTCCTTAAAATGTTTAATTATGGATTGATAATATTTTTTTTTAAATTAAAGAAATATTATTCAAGGAAACTACCTTCAATTGTGATTCCATCTAAACCCTCTAATGCAATTTCATCTAAAATGTCGGATACATAATCTGAATTTATATTTGAGATCAAACTCATTTTAATCAGTCTTTTATTATTAAATTAATAACTTTTTCAATAATAATCAATTCATTATTGCTAAGTGTTTTTTATGAAATTTTTTAACTTTAGGGGACAAGCTAAAATGATTTAAATACAGTTCGTGTCACTAGAATTTATTATTTCATAGAGTAAAAATTATTAAGTTTCTTCAAATATAAAAGTTCGCCATTGTATATGCCCAATGTCTTAAATATAGAAAAATTTTAATCTCAATAAATAGATAATTGTTTTTTAAATACTTCCTTTCAATAAACTCTTTTTTAATTTTTATTAAAGCATTTAACAAATAAAGTATATTTCGTCTTATTTTCTATTTTTAAAAAAAACCTTATCTCTCTTCTTTAAATTAAAGCTTTTGACTTTATCAAAAACTTTAAATTATCCAAAAAAAATTTTTTTAAAAATAAGTTTGTTAAAATTTATTATTTTTAATTCAAAAATTTTACTTCCGGTAATTAAAAATTGACATTGAAAAATTTGGCACATTTTTTTTTAAACAAACATTTATTATATATATATATAAATAGGTAAATTAAAGAAAAAGCAAATGGCGGCAGACATAAAAACGTGCCAAAAAAAAAAAAAAAAAACTCAAGTTCATTTTGATAACAAGGAAAACCGACAAATAAAATTCTATAATTAAAATAATAATAAAAAAAAATATCAAGATAACAATACAAATAATTATTAAACTATATTATAATACATTTAAAAAAAAAAAAAAGCAGTTGTATAAAATGAAAATCATAATTATTAATTATAAATTTTAATTTAAAAGTATATTATTTTGTTTAATTTTAGATTTGAGATAATGTAATTAAATAATTTTTTAAGAGAACTCAAAAAAAAAAAAAAAAAAAAACAGGTCAACACAAACAGTAACGCATCATTGACAAAAAAATTCCATACAAAAAAAAAAAAAAAACATTAAATTAATTTTTTGACAAAGAATCAAAATGATATAAAATAAATTTTATTAAAATAAAATCATATCAATTTTTTTTCTTGTGTGTAATTCATTTCATTTTTTATTTTTCTACAATCTTTTATTTAAAAGAATATTTAAAATTCTTATTTCGCCACTGAACACATAAAAGACAGACACGTAAAATAAATCAATTTTATGTAACCAACTCCTGCTTTACAGGAAGGACAAAGAAATTTTTTTTTTTTTTTAATTTAAATTAATTTTTATTTTACTTAACATAAAAATTAATAAATAAAAAAAATAATGAGTGTGATTGAAAATGAATGTGGTAACGGTTTAAATATAATTTGTAAAAATGATAAAATTAAATATTATTATTATTATTATTATTGGCTTAGAGATCATTGTAAATGTGATAATTGCTATAATAAAATAACATTACAAAAAAAAATTGACTTGATTGATATACCAATTGAAATAAAAGCTAAAAATTATTCAATCGATGGAGACGAACTTAATATTGTTTGTAAGTATTACCAAGGCTTCTTAATATGTCATCTTTTATTTCCCCCCTTCCCCCCTCCCCCCCTCTTCAAAATATTTTAATTTTTTTTAATTAAACTACAAAATGTTTTATTAGTGATTCACAATGAGAAAAAAAAAATCACTTTGAATTATATTTTGTGAGGTTCCACAAAAAATTTATCAAAAAAAAATTGTTTGTCATGTTAATAATGATTTTATCGATTTTTTTTTTTTTTTTTTACTATAATGATAATACGCTATCATTTAAATTATGTTTGTTTATTTTCTTGTTGAAAATATGAAAAAAAAAAAAAAAATCTTATACTCCTAAAATAAAAATATTTTATGTTTTATTAAATTATTTTAAATAAATTTTAAAATAATTTCTGTTATGTTATTTAGTGTTTTATATGGGGGATAAACTTGTGACAATATTAGAGAGAGAGAGAGAGAAAAGGTCATTAGGGTGACATATAATTATTATGTATTGTTTATAATTATAATATCTGTCAATTTAAATTGACATAAAAATATTTATTTACCATAATTATTATTATTTATTATTAACAAAATTATAAATTTTGTAATGTAACAGAAAAAATTTTGTTTTTTTTTTTACATAAAAATACATGACATTGTCATTTTTTTTAAAAATTATTATTATTATAAACAATTGGCAAATGTAATAGGGTAAATTTTAATAAAAATTATTGAAATTTTTGCCAATTTGTTATAAATATTTAAATATCATTACAATTAATTAATTATTTTTTTAAATAATTATAAACATGGCAGTCAGTTTAATAAAAAAAATATTGTTTTATTAAAAAAATAATTTATTTATTACACAACCTTTTTTCAGGTATTTATAAAATATTAAAAATTAAAATGGAAAATTTTTTTAGATTTAAATATTTTAGAAAAAAAAAAAAACAAAACAAAAGTTTTGTTCACGATTTAGGTTTTAATTGTTTTAATATTTCTTTATTAATGTTTTCCCACATTTTATCACTTGAAGTCCCATCAAAATTTTTTAATATTCCTTTTTTTTTAAAATAATCAACAAGTGGTTGTGTATTTTCATAATAAATCTTTAACCTTTCGTGAATTTTTTCCGGTTCGTCATCGGGTCTCCTTAACAATGGTTCCCCTGTAACATCATCCTTTCCTGCAACCTTAGGTGGACGAAAAATGATATTGTAAATTCTTCCACTAGGAACGTGTACAAGTCGTCCTTCGGCTCTTTTAAGTATCTCTTCAAGTGGTACAATTAAATTAATTGCTATTGTTAACGGGAACGACATAAATAGTTTTTCCGCTTGTTTTATTGTTCTTGGAAAACCATCGAGAAGGAAATTTTTATCATATAATTCTTCTTTTATTTTACTTAATATAATGTCAACAACGAATACGTCAGGTACGAGTTTACCATCGGAAATATATTTAGCAACAGCTTTTCCCACTGAATCCGATTTTTCTATCTTTTGTCTAAATAAATCTCCGGTTGATACGTGTACAATATCAAAATTTTCTATTATTTTTTTAGATATTGTTCCTTTACCTGCTGCTGGAACTCCTAATATTGTTCCCCTAAATAATGTTTGCATTATATATATATATATTTTTTTTTAAATTAATAAACACAAAAACCTTTTGTATTTATATATATATATATTTATAATTATTTCGTTTTATTCGATAATAACATAAAAATTTTCATCTCATACTGAATTTTATTGTAAAAAAAAAATTTCTTATTTATGATAACAAATAATCAACTCATTGTAAATTTCCTTTAATTTCACAAATAAAACCGCCAATCTCAACATATTAATACGTTAACATTTACGAAGAGCAGACGAAATATAATTTTATTTATCGGTTTAATTCGGAAAAAGTCGGACGGAAAAGTTTTCACGCATGCGCGGTAAAATGTTTTGTTACACAGTTTTTCAAAAAGTTTTTTTCGAAAAAAATATTTTTTATTTTAAATATTATAATTTCTTTTTGATTTAATTTTTTTTCCGTACATTTTAACGAAAATTTAAATTTTTAACGTCGTTATTACCTTTGTTGAAGTAAAATTTTTTCAAAGGAAATTCAAAAAATTTTTGTAACGGTTTTTTTTTTTAAAAAACTTTTTCTGTAATGTCGATGATTTGTCACTTAATAATTAATTAATTAAAATTAAAAAGTAATTAATGTATTCAATTAATGTATTTATTAATGATATTATTTTAAAAAAGTTATTACAAAATTGATAAGTTTAATTTTTTTTTTTTTTTTTTTTTTTAGAAAAACTTCTTTGAATATCGAGGCCCATTAGCTCAGTTGGTTAGAGCGTCGTGCTAATAACGCGAAGGTCGTGGGTTCGATCCCCCCATGGGCCAAATAATTTTTTTTTTTTTTTCATTATAAAAACTTTTGCTACTCGTTTTAGGGGACGACGAACATCGTTCTAAATACTCGCTCGAGTACTTAAAAGAATTAACGTTTGACAATCATCGTAATAAATTAATAAGAAATTATGTACTTTGGACAAAAGATGATATTATTAAATATGACGTTTGTCACGTAGATTATAAAAAAATTTTGGAATCCGATGAAGGAATTTACTCGGTCATGAAATCACTCGTAGATTATGGCGTAGGATTTATAGAAAACGTAAATAATTTTCGTATTATTATAATAATTTTTCTACCTTAAGCAACCTCTGACCGTCTTCTTTTGTTTACAGGTACCACCAAATGTAAAATCAACAGAAGAAGTAATATTGAAATTATCCCACGTTCAAAATACAGTTTTTGGAAGCATGTGGCAATTTAGCGATGATATGGACCATAACGACACAGCATACACAAAACAATATTTAGGTCCTCACACAGATAATACATATTTCACAGAAGCTGCCGGGTAATATAAAATCATTAATAAAATCTTTCACCGCCATTAATTAATTTTTTTTTCTTCAAATTTTCATTTAGTCTTCAGGTATTACATTGCATAAATCACACGGGAACAGGTGGAGAAAATTTTTTAATCGATGGATTTAAAGCGATTGAAATATTAAAAGAAAATTTTCCTGACACTTTTACCAGATTGACATTGATCGAAGTCGAAGCTGAATATTTAGAACCTGGATATCATTATACCTTTTCCGGACCTTTAATTAAACTTCATCCTGTAACAAAACAACCGGAACAAATTAGGTAAGAAATTATTTTTACAAATTAATTAATTTTTTGAATTGATTTACCTGTAATTTACAGATATAATATTCACGATAGAGCTCCCGTCACCATACCACAGGATCAAATCCTTCAACATTATAATGATTTAAGAATATTGGGTTCGATAATAAAAAATCCAGATTTGGAATGGAAATTTAAATTAAATCCCGGGACTGTATTGATATTTGATAATTTTAGAATTCTTCACGGAAGGACATCATATACAGGTCATCGAACCATGTGCGGTTGTTATATAGGAAGAGGAGATTTTTTAAGCAAAGCAAGAGTTTTAAAATTAATTAATTGATTTCAACGACACATTAATAATAATTGACATAATTATCATCTTATGCTATAAATAAATAAAAAATTTATATACATATACATATACTTATTGTATTATTGATTATTTTTTTTTTTTTTTTTAATAATTGAAAATTTCTTATCGTTTATTGGTAATAAATAGAAAAAAAAAAAAAAAATTTCCTTGAACTTAGTTTTCTATCATTACCTAAACTTTTTTTTATTTTTCTTTGTAATTTACACGTAAGTTTATTTTTAAAAAAAAAAATGTTTTTATCAATTTATAGATAAATATAAATTGTATTTAGTGATAAATTTTCTCCCAGAAAATATTTTTTTTATTTTTTATTTCAAGGTAAAAAATTTTTTTAAATTATTTTTTTATCAATTTTTTTTTTCTTTTGATTTTCATTTCTTATTATTTTGCATGATGATAATAGTAATAATAATAATTATTATTATTATTATGACAATGAACTTCAAATACCTCGGGATTATAAGTAAATAAAAATATTACACAATGTCAAGAGTGTATTATTGTAAAAAAAAAAAAAAAAAATAGTAAATTTAATTTTATTATATTATTTTAATCAAAATATTCTTTTTTTTTTTTTGTTTAATAAATATTTATTAATAAATCAAATTTTTATTTAAAATAAATTTTTTCATTTACACATGGACGAACCAATCAAAAAAAAAAAAAAAATTAAAACCCTTAAATTGAATTAAATTTTTTTTTTTTTTTACATACATTTAAAATTAAATAATAAAATTTATGTATGATAAAAATTTAATAATTTTAATAATTCATACATATAAAAAAAAAAAAGAATGTATAAAAGTACGTATTATTTCAATTATTATTATTATTATAATAATAAATATTTTTTTTTGAATGTCAAGTACGTATAAAATATAAAAATATTTATCTTTTAAATTTTATTAAAGTGTGACTTTATGTATGATTTATAAATATTTATATATATAAAATATAAATATTTAAATATTCAAACAAATTAATTCGCTTATTTATTTAAATAAAATTATTATTTGTATGCTCTGGTAGTAAATTTATTTACTAACAATATAACCCACCCAAATATATATATATATATATATATATATATATATATATATAATAAATACGGTAATTATACGTATAGTCTTATAAAATTAACAGTCGTTCGTTTCATTTATTGATTTAATTTTTTTTTTTTTACTAAATAAAATAAATTGATTATAATTCGGCATTACAATACTATTAATAAAAAAAAAAATTATTATTATTATTTTTTCTTTCTTAAAAAACTCTCAAAATGGTAAAATTATCATTGTTTTTATGTTTTTTATGCGTTACATAATAAAAAAAAAAATATGGCACTTGGCTCTTCTTAATCAAATACTCTCGTTTTATTTAATTTTTTTTTTTATTTATTTTCTTATTATTTTCAAATTATTGTAAAAATTTCAAAAAATAAAAAAAAAATTATTTTTTATTTAGTTTTATTGATTGATTGGCAGCTAAATAAACAACAGTCTTATTTTAAATAATTTATTAACAACTATATATCTGTTATCAATATGCTCTGATTTTTTTTTTTTTTGTTTTTAATTGCATAATAGTATTTTCATTTTAAATTGATATTTACCAAGTAGTAATTTTATTTAAAACAGTTTTCTATGTAACCTACATAAATTAAAATAAGTGACATGTTTAAATTACAACTCATTCATTTTAAAAAAAAAAATAAAATTATT